TTTTTTTTTTCATGATGGATTCTAAACTGTGTTAGAAATAAAATTTTCATACTTTCATTTATGAATGTGTATGTCATAATGGCAGCAATTAACATAAATACCATGTATTGGCGTGGAGAAGGAATTCTCTGTAAAAGGAACGCGGCATTTATAATGACATTTTGAACTTTACAAATCAATGAGACACCGCAAGGAAATTTATATTGAAATAGCTTCATTCGCATAATAATTTTGAAACTAGAAGAAACTCGGCGAGATTTGAGGCAAGTTATTCACGATGAATGTAGATATTATATACACACTAAGGGATATCATTATCATTTAATTTTCGGTCTCACCTTTTCACCTTATATTCTCCGTCGTTAAATTCAAAATCCGATATAACAATCCTCTTCTATGTTTATCGGTGGCGGAAATTTAAATAAAATGTACACGGTACTAGAAGAGGATATCATTATAGTTGTACTGCATAAATATTTTTTCCCTTGGCAATGCTCGTTTGGATGGGAGGGGCGAGCAACTGATTGTGCAGCCAGAATCCGAAAAGTGGAATCGGCCAATATCGGCCCTGTGTTGGGCCAACAGTCGGCCACCTTTTTTTAACACTTCATTAAACCGCACTACATTAAAATAATCCACGTAATAAATGGTACGTTTTTTTGTACCCGATCATACCTATATTATTCTCGATTCAAGTTGGAAGCTGTCATAATTTTCTAAAGGAATGCGTCTTACATACAATATTTTGCCATAATTTCGGCATCAATATTATCTTATCTGATTATTCATCGTTGTTCTGCAATAAACGATAACTGCGAACAATCAAAAACGTTTATTTTAATTAGGAATTTTTATAACTGGTTAATTAATACTTTTCGATGTCTGTTAATATAGTCGACTGATTACGATGGCCTCAATCCTAGGGTTTTTTTCAATCATAGGGTTTTTTCGAAATTCATTATTTTCGCTATTCATTAAATTTCTGCACTCATCCCCAATTACAATTAGGTAATACCTTACACTAAGCCTCATTATATTAGGTATGGAGCCAAGGGCTAGAGATCTAGCTTCTAAGTATTACTACTTGTACATACTCTGGATAATGTGTATATATTGTCAATAAACTCTTGTTAAAAGTAAAGTTAAGGATTACGATGGCCGAAGTGGTTAAATCACTTAACCGGACGGCGGGGAACCCTGAACATCCTGGGTTCCAGTCCGACCTGAGACTTTGGAATTCTTTAGTTTGGGAAACCGTCGAACGGAAGTCTAGACATCAAGAATCATGGAAGTGTTTAAAAAATTCTTCTATAAAGCTTCGTTGATGGACGCCATGTCGGCCAAAGTTTTCCATGGTTTCCCTTGGTCACTAAGAGAATCTGGATGGTGGGATATAGTTCCTGGGATTTGATTGAAGAAGAGGTCGGTCTTATGACACTGCACAACTGTGAAAACCCGTATAGAGTATACGCGGTAAAAGGAAAAATAATAAGAATCATAATAATACCTACTGATGTGGTTAATAAAAAAATCTTAATACACTGCACCAAAATATTTCACTGATGGATTTCTGTAAACATTATTGAATAGAACGAAAACAAATTTTCAATGATTGTGAGAATGGCAAATTGTAGATTCATGTGTGATACACCGAACAAAAATATATTTTTGCAAAGTATAATATGATTTCATAAAAATTTAATTTCTTTTTTATTATTATTGGATCAATTCATCATGCGACCGATCTAGTACAGCCTGCACTGGGATGAAGTATCTTTACTA